AGGGTTTGTTAGTTTTGAGTTTTTGAAGCTGTAGATCTTTGTTTATTTTCGTTTTATATGCTGATATGAGTTTGTGATTGTTGAATTTGGATTCTGGATTTTTGATTTGTCGTTTTGAAGGGCTAAAAGATGGAACCTATGGATATCGTTGGTAAAACAAAGGAAGACGCTTCACTTCCAAAAGGTTTCTTCTTATCTTCCTTCGTTTTACTTTATCCGATTTATTTGTTGCAGTTCTTGTACGGATTAAATTTAGTTTTCTCTGGTTGCAACTTTTTTTTGTTCCTCTTGTTACTCCTGTCATGTTTGGTTGACCTAACTGCCATATTTTTGAGTGGATGAACACATAGTGAGTGATTGAAGTAATGGAAGTATTAATTTGTAGCCAGCATATATATATTTGATTACTGTTACCTGGATTGCTTTGAACCTAATTGAACGAGTTTCTCATGTTATTTGGTGAGGAAAGTTTTATATTAGCTTAACTTATGACTGTCCTGTCTAAAATATTAGAGCTTTTGTAAGTTATCACCATCCTGATGTGGCTTCATCTGCAGGGTGGAGTTTAGGGTTTTTGATCCTTTAAACTCGTTAGTTATTCAAAGGATAAGGTAGTTAGTGGATGGTCAGCAAAAGATGTAGCATTTTGGTCTCAGTGTTGAGTTTTAAGTGGAAAATAGGGTTGTGCCCAACCTCTTAGATTCTAAAATCAGTTCCTGCTAGCTAAAAGCTTGATTCTTTGTGTTGTTTAAAGCTCTTTGTTTTGGTTCTACCTCGACATGGTAAGTAGGATGTTTGTGTGAAATTTCTTAATTTCCCGCTGCATTATGTTTCGATAGCCAGAGTAAAGTCGATCTTTCTCATAAGCTGAGTAAAAAAAAAGGCACGATCAGTATGTTAATATTGTGAAAACATCGTTATCATTGTGTTAAAGTGATTCACTTGTGAACAATGATATTGAAACTTTGGTTACCTCATTTAACTTTTGCAAATTTGATATTAATGGCTTAGTTTTGTTAATGGTTTACTTTTCCTTGGCTGCTCTAACCATTGTATCTCTTATCAGCAACTATGACAAAAATTATCAAAGAAATGTTGCCCCCAGATGTTCGTGTTGCCCGAGATACTCAAGATCTTTTGATTGAATGTTGTGTAGGTGAGTTGATTTTAATTTGTCTAGTTTTATTCTTGATATTCTGCTTACTTATCACAATAAGTATGATTCTTGTTTACTACTGTTTGTTAATGACCACAACTCTGCTTCTCTCTGATTTTAATGGGAACTTTTATCAAGCTGATTTTTTTTTGTAATGATGATGCCTGGGCCAACTTAAAATTGGGAGAAATCACCTAGTATTAGTTGCCTCCGCTGGGATTTGAACTTGGGCCCTCATGATCCTTCTCACTTTATTTATCACTAGGCTACAATTACGGACCAGTTGATTTTAATGGGAATATGTTGGTGTATAATCTGTTTCACATGGGAAGTTTATGGATTGAAGGGGAACTGTGCCATAAAGGCCTGTTACTCCTCAAATTCCAGTCTGACCAGACATAGCAAGAAAAGTATGATGGAAGAACATGGTAGTGACTGAGCATGGTTTAAGACATCAAGTAGGTCACCGTGGACACTTTTAAAAGGAATTTGAAGTCCTAATTTTTGACAGATCATGTGTTTTATTCTAAGATAATACATACAACTCAAACAGATCAATGATGGAATTCAGGCAGAGGCAAAAAGGATAGGTGATTCTCCCAATTTTCATGAGTTGTGGTTCAAAATATACCTGGAACTTGCAGTAGTGCAAGGATGCAAGTACCTGGTGAAATATTTTTGGTGCTGAACTGTTGTTCCCATAGATGTTCTGGCTGGTGATGTGTCTTTTGTTACTTTAACATGGTTAAACTATTTCCTCCCTGTTCTTCCTCTATGTATGATTGATATCACCTCTTAATTATGTTAAGCATATAATAAATCTGCTTCTATTAGTACTTGCATTAACTTCAGATTATTATTTAATTTAATTTCATAAAGTCGTTTCCCTCTTTCTCATTAGTCAAGTATGTGTGACTTTTTTCTATGTTGTGCAGAGTTCATTAATCTTATCTCATCAGAATCCAATGAAGTTTGTAATAGAGAAGAGAAACGAACAATCGCACCCGAACATGTACTCAAGGCTTTACAGGTGCTTGTCCTGACCTTGTAGTTCTGCTTCTATAGTTCTATGTGTATCTGCTTCAAGTTAGTTTTGTTTTCCAATTCCCTGCTGGCACTTTTTACTCTGTGATTTATCAGTTTTATTCCAAGACGAGAAAGGTAAGTTCACACCTAGTTTTCCTCTAAAGCTAAAGTTATGTGAATAAGGATGACAAACTATTTGCTTCTTGACTTCGGAGTCTGTTCCTTATGCCCTAGAAGTGATATCAATGACCAATGCAAATACTATTCATGATCTTAACTGATGTCTGCTTAATGTATGAATCAAGTTCTCTCTGAGTCTGAAGACTATATTCACAACAGAAACCAATGGAACCAGTTTCAATCTATGGTGTAATAGTTACATTTTATTTTGATCACTGACCATCCAGAAATCATTTTTTTTGAACCTTAAAAACACTGGCCAGGAATTGAAATCATGTAGTGTCCTTTCCATTTTAAATTATTGATATAATTTGCTTGAATTGTGTTTGCCAGTGGCAGCTTATATTAAGTGATGATCTCTCAGGTTCTTGGTTTTGGGGAATATATTGAAGAAGTCTATGCTGCATATGAACAACACAAGCTAGAGACCATGGTAAGTTCTCTTTTCTCTGTTGTCTTGGTTAGTTTTGACATACGGATGACCTGTTATTGCAGCTTCACTGTTGAATAGCTCTCTCATCTATTGAGCTACTTTCTCTTACTATTTTTCATAAATGTTTCGTCTTATCGGTTTCTTTTCATTTGTCGTTTCCCCCCCTAGTCAGTCTCTCCTCCTCTCGACTCCACAACTGTAGCTAAACCATCTGAAGTGATTTCAAAGTGCAGTAGTTTTTATCATTTGTATTGCCGCATGATGTATTTTTTCTACCATAGGACACTGTGAGAGCTGGAAAGTGCAGTAATGGAGCTGAAATGACTGAAGAAGAAGCATTAGCTGAGCAACAGAGGATGTTTGCTGAGGCGCGTGCAAGGATGAATGGTGGTGTTACAGGTCCCCCCAAGCAGCAAGATTCAGAAGCAGAGCAAACCTTGAATAGCTAACTTTACTTTTTCGTTGTTGTGTAGGAAAAAAACATCTTTAGTATGTTTTAGTAGAGCAGGACCTCTCTTGTATTATGTACAAAAAGGCTCCTGGCGCATGTGTCCGCTTGTGAGGGCTCTAGTTCAGTTTGTACTCAGATGCATGTTCATATATTCTGTAAATTATTAAGAATTTGCTTCAGATTGTCCCCTAAAGTTTCTTGTCAGTAGTTTCTGTCAAAAAGGCGTCTTTGTCACTGAATTGGCCATTAGCTCACGCGTTTGGCCGACTTCTCAGCCTCCACTTTGGATGTGCCTCTTTATTATTTGTCCTAATAAAAAATTCTCTCTAACGCTGAAAGTTGAAATCACTGAGGAAAAAATTGTACATCCACCCAAATAAAAAATTGTCACAAACTGAACGAGTGGGAAAGAATTATGACTGTGATGGTCGTTTGGTTGTGTGAAAAGTATAATAATTTTCGGGATAAGATGTGAGATTAACTTTATCGCGTATTTGGTTCAAAAGGAGTTTGGACCTAATCTTAGATGTGTATTAAGGTAGAAGGAAGGTCAGTAAGCAATGGAATGTTTGTGTTGTTTTCCAAGAGTATTACTAGCTCTAATACTCTAGTTTTTTCCTTTGATAACCATTATTATGTTCCGGTTGTAGCACTGTTTTGCTGTTCTTGATCCTTTCTTGTATTATTTGCACTGCTTCCTTTATTAATATGAATTTGCTATAATTGAGCCAAGGGTCATTCGAAAATAACCTCTTTACCTCCACAAGATAGTGATGAGGTTTGCGTACACTTTGCCCTTCCTAAATCCCACTTATGAGATTCAATTGGATATGTTATTATATCAAAATGATGGGATTACTATCTCGTACAGAAGATGGTATATCCTTGTTTATCTTATCGTTCCATACGACCCGTTAGTGCTCAATAGCTACAACTCTAGGGGTCATTTTAAGTTGCTTAAATGGGCATTCCTTGTTTACTTGGATCCACCAAATCACCACTATTTGTTGCTAGTGCAATTCCTTTTTTTTTTTCTCTTTCCGGAAATTTGAACATAAAAATGACTCCTCTGAACCCTTTAGGCCCACAATCACTTTTTTTTAATTTGTGGCTCTGTTGTTTATTGCAAATAATTGTGTCTTTAGTAGAGAATCTAAGTGATTTCTTAGCTAAGCCCAACATCATCACTGGATCTTTGTCCTCTAGGTATAATTTGCAGTGTTATCAGAAAAAAAAAACATCATACAGAATGTTATGTTGGGAGATGTTTACTGTAATAAATAGCAATGGTGTACTTTGATTCTCAGTTACTTTGTGACCACATCTCCCTTTATTCGTCTATGTTTTGGTTGAAGACAAGAAATAGACAGTCAAAGCCACTCTTTTTCAAGAAAGTGAAATAACACTGTACTCTGTTTCACTTACATTCCTTTAATTCAAAATATTATTCCCTCGTTTAATTTGTTCATCCTACGAGAACGTTTACATGTTTTACACCACAAGATTAAATAATGTTTTGGTACATTCTATATAACATTTACTTTCTTAAGAAAATTTCATTTCAAGGATAAACAAATTGAAAAAGAGAAAGTATTCTGTTTTTGGGGTAATTCCTTACCTCAAACCTGTCCTTTTCCTGTATGTCACTGCCAATTCCCATGACAGGTTGTGGGGTAGCTTATGTTTTTCACTTTTTTTTTTTCAGATTCTTTATACTCTGACTATATGTACTAGAAGCAGAACAAATTAACAAACCAAAAAAAGAAAAATAAATCATTTTCCTAGCCAAACAACACTTTAAAGGTGCAGCCTACTTTCTCAAATGAAGACAATCATGGCAAAGAGTTCCCAAGATTTGTCCTCTAAGAAACAGTTCAACTGGACAACTAAAGTGAGCAATGAAGAAGAACAACATGAAGTAGTTGAAGAAGATGCATCTCTTAAAATCGCATCAAACACAAACAACACGAAAGATGGAAAAACAGATAGCATTAAGATATCTCCTTTGAAACTCCCACAAGGCTCAATAACCAAATCTCCTTCTTTAAACACCATCCATGAAGAGAAGACAGACGATGCAAAGTTAATTCAGGAATCAGAAACATCAGCTTCAGCATCTGCATCAACAAGGAGAAAAGCAGTAGTAGCCAAGCTGAAATCAGTACTAACATCACTTGGTAAAAACAGAGGAAATCTCCAACCAGGCTTGGGAACCAAAGTTGTAGGTACACTTTTCGGGCACAAAAACGGGCATGTACATTTTGCATTTCAGAAGGATGCCAATTCACAACCAGCCTTCTTGGTAGAACTGGCGACTCCCATAAGTGGACTAGTCCACGAAATGTCATCGGGGTTGGTTAGGATTGCATTGGAATGTGATAAGACAGACGAGAAGAAATCAACTAGGCTCATCGATGAGCCTTTGTGGAGGACTTATTGTAATGGGAAGAAATGTGGTTTTGCAACAACAAGGGAATGTGGTCCAAAGGAACTGCAGATTCTGAAAGCTGTGGAGCCTATCTCTATGGGAGTTGGTGTTTTACCGCGGAATGAAGATGAGAGCGATGAATGTGATTCAGGGGATGTGATGTACATGAGGGCTAAATTTGAAAGAGTTGTGGGGTCTAGAGATTCAGAGGCATTTTACATGATGAATCCTGATTGTGATGGAGCTGCTGAACTTAGTATTTACTTGCTCCGAGTCTAGTTAAGTAGACTCGATTCATGTAGCTGACTCCAACTTGTCTGAGATTGAGTGAGACGTATGTTTGTTAATATAGTCATGTTATGTGTTTACTTTTTTTGTTTTCGGTTTTCAGAAGAGAATCCAGTAGGAGAATGGAAACTGGTTAATGTATTTCTTTAGTTTTTTCTTTCTTGGGTGAAATGGGAGATATATATTACTGATACAACCAAATTATACTTGCAGTTTCACTTGTTCATTGTGTTTGTATTCTTGATTCTCAGTTGATATCAACTTCATGAACTTGTATATTCACCAATTTTGAAGTTATCTTCCCAAATTTGTGGATTGTGGCAAGTCCTTTGCAGCACATCATTACTCGAAAATGTTGTTTTCGTGGAAATGATCTCTTATGACCAATTATCATGGGATTGAAAAAAAAATGTCCTTTTCAGTTCTGTTACGTGTAAAAATGAAAAATTTGTTAAAAAGACATAAAACTAAAAACAAGTTTGTCTAGGTTACAAAACCAAATCTCCCCATGTTTTTAGTCACTACACACCATAAAAATTGATGAATGTTTCGAACAACTTGATAATATTTGTATCGCTTAGAGGTTATTAGTAGATACATGGTGGTATAGTTGAGATCGAAAAACTGCTCTTATAAGAAAAGAAAAAAAAAGTGTGATATGTCTAGAGGTCGATTTATGAGTTTCAAGTGAACTCAATAATTTCTGTATAAATATTTGGTTGTAAACTCAAGTTGTAATTGCAATATTTATTTAAAATCAATATCGTCAGTCATAAACTTCGAATTCTGAATCTGCTATATGTGCGAAAAGTGTAATATGGGGCAACCTTTTTTCTTGTGTAGATGTGAACCATGGTCATGTATAAAACATCCAAACAGATAATGCTTAATGCTTTTCTTTTTAGTTCTTTTCTTGACTGCTTTCCTCTAATTTTGAAAGATTTGCCACCTACTTTTTTTTGGCATCTCATTTAAAAAGTGTATAATTGTCACATGTTTTGGTGCGTAATTTTGGTCTGCGCTTTATCGATATAAGCATGAAAATCCCAAGAAATTAAACTATTATAGCTTAATCACACAAGTCCATCAAAAGCAGCGCCAACCAAAGATTTCTTTGCCTGACATACATCTTACTCAGCAGTATTTTTCGGGGCGTTTGATCATGAATTTTTTTCATTTTTTTGATACCCAAAAAACACATTTAACACTAAAACTTCAGAATATCGAATTTTCAAGAATTTGAAAAAAAATAAAATAGATGTTTTCACTTTTTTTAAGCGTAAACTATTCACAAAAAATCAAAAATAACTCAAGTTTGTATTCATAGACAAACATTACTCTACTCAAATTTTCAAATATCATTTAAAGATAGAAACATGGTCAAACGTGTGTAAAGATGGATCTTAGGCCTAGCTAAACCTCAAAAGTTAGCCCATTAAGGAAAAATTGTCCAAGTTCATATAAGCAGACTAAATTTCTACGAGTTAATTCCTCAGATGGTCACTCAACTATGCACTCTTCTCTCAGAAAGTCTTTCAACTTTTAATTCACTCAAAAGTCACTCAACTATGCACTTCTTTCTCAGAAAGTCACTCAACTATCCGCTCTTTCCTCAGAAAGTCACTCAATCTATTAAATTATTTTTTAATTAAAATTTGTTGATATTAACTATTTATATAACAAACCAAAATTTTTTAAAAATAAATTAAACTATTTAGT